CAGGAGGATGTCGACCGTCGGTTAAGTTGGGATGGTAGGGTGCGGTTTGTGATCCAGGGGGGGAGTAAGGGTTGGGAGTTTGTGTAGGGTGGTGGGTGGGTGGAGGGTGTTGAGCGTGTAGAGGGTGTTGAGCGTGTGGACGGTGTTGGGCGTATGGAGAGTGTTGGGCGTAAAAGGAGCGAGGTGTTGTTGGGGTAGTGGTCGCGGTGGTAGCGTGGTGATTGTGATGGTGGCATCTTGGTCTTGTTGGTACGGGTTGTAGTTTTGTGGATTGTGTGGAATAAAAGTGGTCTTGTGGTTAGAGTAAAAGATTAGAGGCGTGCGATGGTCTTCATATATCCAAGATGGTTGATGAGTGTTTGATGCGTGACTCAGCTGAAAAAAGGGGGTTTGCTCATGTCATTGTGAGATCTGGGGAATGTCCTGATGATTGTATAAATGTCTTACATCCGAACAGACGGACGGACAAACGAAAAACGATAGAGTGAGGAAACGGAATTACAAGACAGCGCGGGCATGTCAGACGAATGTAGGCGTGCAAACTGTAGCATGGCGTATAGTATGCCATGTCAAACCCGGACGATTCCGCGTTGATTACAGTCGAGATGATTGAAGAGGAAGCAGCGAGCGTGTGAAGGAGCATGCACAAACAAGGCACGTGGAAAAGAGGAAAAAGGGGGGTATATAACTTGTGGATATCTACAATTTGGCCCTCCGCTGCAAATACAGCCTCACACCGATAGCCGCTGCATCACGTTAGTAAAATGGAGTCATCGTCTGTGTTGTGATGGAGAGAAAGGGGATAAAGACATACCAATAGCGACGGCGAGGCCCTTGGCGCCTACCCACCGCAACAGCCAGCCACTCCAGCTCAACTTTGTGCGGCCCTCGCGGTCAAAGTTGGGCTTCACATTGTTCATGGCCGCGAATTTCTTCTGTTTCTTGGGCGTGTAGGGCGGGTAACGAACATCGAGGAGGCTCTCGAGCCAGGCCGGGGTGGTGGTGACGGACCGGCGATGGGTAAAGACATCGAACGAGGCCTTGCCGCGGTAGGCGCCCTGGCCAGAGGAGCCGACGCCGCCAAAGGCAAGCGTGGGGATGGAGGCGTGGAAGAAGCCGTCGTTGAGGGAGGCGCCGCCCGAACGGGTCTGGTCGAGGATCTGGGCCATTTCCTTGCGGTTGCCAAAGGCGTAGGTGCCGAGCGGGGTGTCGTGGACCTCGTTGGCCAGCTTGATGGCCTCGTCGAGGTTGTCGACGGGGAGGTAGGGGATCAGGGGCCCGAAGCTCTCGTCGCTGACGAGGCTATCGCTGATGCTGTCGACCTCGACGACCGTGGGGCTCCAATGAAAAGCTCGGCCTCTTC